AACACTCTCCCCGTGTCCTGTCACAACAGGCCCTGATAAAGAGACTGGCCCCAACTTTCTGACAGCCCCCCTGAAGGCCTGAAAGGCCACCAGAAGGTCTCCCTGGAGCCTTCTCTTCTCCAGGCTGAACAAGCCCAACTCTCTCAGCCTGGTCTCACAGCTCTTGATTTTTGTGGCCCTTTTTTCTTTATTTTTTCCCCCATTTCAGAGCTGAAACTTCAGCATTCACATCCTTATAGCTGTTCTCCATAGATCTAAGGACTAGATGCTTACCTAGGACTCAATGGAAGTTGGATGTCTACATAGAAACATAGAATCACAGACTGGTTTGGGTTCAAAGGGACCTTAAAGCTCATCCAGTTCCAACCCCCCTGCCATGGACAGGACACCTCCCACTAGAGCAGGTTGCTCCAAGCCCCATCCAGCCTGGCCTTGAACACCTCCAGGGATGGAGCATCCACAACTTCCCTGGGCAGCCTGTGCCAGGGTCTCACCACCTCACAGTGAAGAATTTCTTCCTAATTTCTCATCTAAATGAGCTCCAGGCTGTTACCTCTTGTCCCATCACTACGAAGCCCTGTAAAAAAGATTATCCCCAGCTTCCTGTAGGTCCCCTTTAAGTCCTGAAAGGCCACCAAAAGGTCTCCCTGGAGCCTTCTCTTCTCCAGGTTGAACAACCCCAAATCTCTCAGCCTGGTCTCCCAGCAGAGGGGTTCTGGCCCTTGCACAGTTTTATTGTGCTGGTTTTGGGAGCTCCAGAGCTGGACATAGGACTCCAGGTGGAGTCTCAGGTGAGCAGAGTAGAGGGGAAGAATCCCCTCCTTTGATCCTGATAAACAGGGGTGATGATCAATAATAAACCAGAACAAACACAAACCCTGCCAAATAAAAAGGTGGCATGAAAATGATATCAAAATATCACCCTTTGTCTGGCTCAAAGTGCAGCTGTGGAGGAAATGAAACATTTTTGGAAGGGAAGACAATTTGGCGTGAGAAAGGAGCCAGAGAGTCCTGTCCTGGTTTCATTTTAGGGATTGAAAAAGTTACAGGATAATCTCCTTAGAGGCCAATCCCATCAGAACAGCAACATTTCCACAAGAAAAATAAATCCAAGGTGACCAGCTGTCAAAAAAAAAGCTAAAAATGGCTCAAAAAAAAAAAAAAAAAAGGCAACAAAACCCTTTGAAATCATCAAACGTGTGAAAAATGCACAGAAAAGAAAAAAAAATAAACCACCTTCTAGGCAGTTCTGTGGAAATTCCTGTGGGTGACAGGCAGGCTAATTGGAGATGAATCCACCAAGGGTAGAATGGCTGCTGGCAGAAAAGAAAGAGGATAAAAAAAATAGCTGTGCATAGAATAACTGGGGTTTAAAAGCCATTTACTGTGGTGGCAGGATACCCTCTCCTGCCTGGCACTGGACACCAATGAAAGGTGTCCACTTGGTCCTAGGAGAAGGTCCCATCCCCATCCACCACCTTGCTGGGGGAAATGTGGGTGCTTGGAAGTCAACTGTGACCGTTGCTGAGCCTCCAGGAGTTGTGGGGTGGGGGGGTCCCTTGGGAGCAGGTTGGAAAGTGGTGATTACAGCTCGTCCCCATCCTTGGTGGCCCACCTTGTAACTGTCTTGTTGGGAACACAGTTGATCAATGCTCCCATGTGGTTCCACAGCATTCCTCTGGCTCAGGGGCACAGGTACCCCCCAGGGTGTCTTCTGCAGAAGAATTACAACCCAAGGGTGGGGGGAAATCTCTCTCCTTCCATCACTTTCCCAACGTCAGTGCTGGTGTCAGCTGGCAAGAGACCCAGGGCTCCATTTGAAGTCAATAAAGGCTGCTTTAGGGTGGGCTCCTTGGTTTCTCCACTGCCTGTAGAGGAGCTCTGAGAGCTCCAGCTCTCACAAACCTGAGCCAGGAGGAGCCAGGAGCTCAGCCCCCACCCCACACAACAACCTCTGGACCACTCACCACTCGCCCCCAAGAAGCTTTTTGTCAGCCTCACAAGTTGTAGTTGTCCCCCACACACAACTCCCACCAAACCCAACACAAATGTGAAGCAAGATCAACATGGGGTGGACGTGCCATGGGAAGCCCACCCTGCCAGGCTCCAACTCCTCAGGCAATTAAAGGACAGCACGATGAAGGTGACAAAGAAAGTGGTGGAGCTTTAGGGTTTCTTTTATAAAAGACAAATTGTTTATTGATTCAGTCCTTCCACTTGCAACCTCTTTGGTAACAGTCATAACACTTCCAGACTGGGAGAACGCAGTGGAAAGGCCCAGTTCTGACCTCTCACCACTTTCAGGGCTTGGGTGGCCCCTAACGTGCCTTGGTGAGAAGCCAAAAGCAGGTTTCAAAGCATGGCTGAGGACCTGGCCTCCAGGGACAACCCAAACCAGACTACCATGACTCGTCTTGCTCACGGGTGGCCCGGAGAGCAGCCCCAGCACCCCCAGGCAGAAGATGGCTTGGGTTG